GCTAGAATATTGAAATGACTGGTAGGAGTTACACAGCTATTGTGAGCATTGAACTTCCTGTTGTATCGGGTAAAACTGTTGTTGTTGTCGTCTTATTGTACGCGGTGTGCTCGTAACAGTTCGAAGCAGCCTGGGCACTGACCAACATCGCCTCTGGGACCTTCCTGCACACCAAGGTTGTGATTGAAACAGGAGCTGTTCCCATTTTCATTGAACTGCTGAACTCAGAGTACGAGGATGTGCAGGAACAGGTGAGTCACACGATGATACCTGCTTAGTTACAGGTAATCTGCTCATCTATACACAAAACTAGCCTGAAGAGCATCCAGTGAGTTGCCATCGGTATCGTGGATGTTGAGTTTTTCTAACAGTTTCAGGACTTTTGAGAGGCACAAACCTGAATGTGTGTAAACGGCTGTCAGTGTTTGACAGGACGAGTTTCAGTGTCAAAGGCTAACTGTTGGGCTGTAACGTAGTTGAAGCATGTCGGCTGTGTTTCAGGCAGTGTGGGCTCTGGGGAACATAGCGGGCGATAATGCTGAGTGCAGAGACTACGTCCTCAACTGTGGCATCCTCCCATCGTTACAGCAGTAAGTGTTCGTCGTGTGTCTGCGTTTGTCTGTCAGAGCTGCGCTAACAGCTGCTCCGCTCTGTGCAGGCTGCTCGCTAAATCCAACCGTCTCACAACAACCCGCAACGCAGTGTGGGCTCTGTCCAACCTGTGCAGGGGGAAGAACCCACCACCGGATTTTGCAAAGGTCAGTCACTGTTATTGAGTCACTGAATACTGGAGCTCATTTCCTTCCTCCTTCTTAAAGTCAGATTTCCTGTCCTGATCATCCGGCTCCAATATTAAATCGTCCCCTTGTCTGTGTTATTTGTCAGGTGTCTCCTTGTCTCAACGTTTTGTCCAGGCTGCTGTTCAGCAGTGATCCAGATGTGCTGGCCGATGCCTGCTGGGCTCTCTCCTACCTGTCTGACGGCCCCAATGAAAAGATCCAGACGGTCATCGACTCCGGGGTCTGCCGCAGGCTGGTCGAGCTGCTCATGTACGACGCTGACATAATCTTTGGTTCTTGTTGTTTTTTAAATGAAAATTGCTCCCTAAATGTAAGAGCTGATTGTGCTGTGACAAGCTTTGAGTGTTCACGTAGCTGTGAAGCAGTTTCAGCCCTCTGCTCTTTGCAGCATTGAAGGGCTGTTGAGCCAAAACAGAACGTTGGATTGGATTTAAATGTCATGAGTGTAGTTGAGTTACGAACTGGCTGGACATGGTCCTTCACAATTTTCTGGGAGACAGCTGAAATAATTCTTCCGTCAGTCATGGAGAACACTGGCCATTTGCCCAGTTGGGTTAATTGAAGGGACGCTCCACACCAGCCCTATAAGTGCTGACACGATACTGTATTACCCAATCAACACACTGAAGTGCCACAAAGTAAATAAACGGCAGACGAAAATGACGCAGACTGAATGATCAGCACGCGAGCATGAGCGTTTCCAGTGTGGACGTGGAGACCAAAACGCTGTTTTCAAGTTTATCCAGGTTGGTGTAGCCTGAGAGGAATATTCCTTTATATAGTAAAGGCAGCATGTTGAATGGTATCAGCTTAGACTGAGATCAGGTCAGATCGAGGGTGGTGACACTTAAC